CAGCTTTCTGGAGACACCAAATACCAAACAGCGATTGCTGATTGCATCTGGGAAGCCTCTTCCCTGCCCTGAAGCACCAGTAAGTGCCTCTGCGGCAAGCGGCCCAAGCGCTGAAGGGAGGCACCGAAGCGGCGGCGCCTTCCTGGCCGGTCTTCAGCCTCAGGGCAATCTGCAAACTTCAAGAGCCACAAACCTAATTGAAATATTATTGTTAAACATTAGCAATTAATGCTGACAGCGATCAGCTGCAGGTGCTGGGAAGCAGCAGAACACTATTGGCACTGAGGTAACATGCCAGCTGCTCTTGTGTCTTACTCAGGTGCTCAGACTCCTCCATTGCATTTAGTTACTAGTTTGGGATGGAAAGTTTAGGATTTTCCTGTGGAATCACAGCTGTAACTGGCCCATTGTGAGGGCGGAGTGGAGCTGAAATCGTGCTCTGCCCCTTAGCTGCGGATATACTGAGCCACTAATTTCAGAACCACTTCTAGGATAACCCTCTTGTCAAACAGGATGTTAAACATGATCTTAGTGGAAATGTCTGTTAGTGATGAGCTGGAATAAAGTTGAGTGAAATATAAGCTCTATAGCTTCCAGATACACTATTCCGCCTCTTCCACTTGCAAGGAGACTGTATTGAGTTTCAGGAATGGACGGAGGTTTCCTCGCAGCTTTGCAGGAGGATTACACTTTTCAGCTCTGTGTCTTAGGTCTGGAACTGGATTTTCCCTCCTTCCCCCAGATGCTTTGGCAGCAGAAAAAAGGAAAACCTAAACATTACAGCATGACTTTCAAGCACTGCACTGACAACCATAAAACAAGTAAGATTCATTCCAAGTCCCTCAGCTCAGAGCTGTGCTGGGAGCTTTCTGCTCTGGGCAGAGACTGACGCAACCAAGGTGCATCACCTTGGCAGGAGCTGTGCAGAGGTAACCAAGTTACCTTGGACCGAATCGACCGGTGACCAAAGCAGGATGAAGAGCCCCTGGGTGCTGCCGTGGTTAGTGCTGTGGCTTTGTGAAGCAGAGCTTCACCCCAGAGCCAGAGCTGCCCTAACACACGCTGCTTTGGGGCACCCTGGCAGAGCCCAGCACGGTGCTGCAGGGCACGTCCGTCCAGGCTGCTCAGCCCAGAGTCCAGGCTGAGCTTCACAGGAAGGAAATCTGTCTGTTCTACACGTGACATGTTATCCCTTCTTTCCTGCTGCTAGGATAACCAGGGAGCACAGGGAGAGCCTTGCCAAGCTCGCCAAACAGTCCACCAACAAATCCAAAGACGCCTTGAGAAAGGTGCGAAGCAAGAGTGTGACCCAAATAAAGAAGTCCAAGAACAAAGTGTCTGAAGATACTATCTGGATGCTAGAAAAGCAGGTATGCTTTTTCCTTCTGGCACATTGTGATGTTTCACATTTATCCCAGACCTCTCTAACAAATTTCCAGCACTGAGAACCGATCTGGAAAATGGGTGACCCTGGGCTGAATTTTTGGCTAGATAATGGCCCTTTTCTGTGTCAGATTTGGGGCTTGAATCTCAAAGCCAAATTCATGGTAGGAATCATTGTAAACTATACACAGGAAAAGTCTTCCCCGAAAGCCTTTGTGGCTCCAGGGACTATTGCATAAACCAGCTGACCTCAGGGAGCAGAACTACCCACATCCACCGTGCAAAACAGCTGGTGTTAATGAGGATTGTTCCAGTTTGTTATTAATGAAAAGGCTAGCAAGATTATCTCTGTTAGGAGTTTTTGGCTTTGATTCAGGAAAATACTTAAGCACATGCCTAATTCCCTAAGAGCAGATGTCACTAAAGTCAATTACTTGGGCATAAACTCAGGCACAAGCATAAGTGTTTTGCTGAATTGATGCCTCTGAAGGCAGGCCATTACTTTTTAGCTGTTTGTTTATTAACAGCTATAGCTAGATACGTTGCAAATGCTTCAGAACAGTTCTTTGTACACTCACAAAAATAAACATTGATACACAGAGCATTTGTGTGAGCAGAAAAAATGGCCATGCTATTGTAACTGAATCCTGTTGGGAAGCAGTCCTCCCAGAGCAGACAGATGGTTTTCTGCATTTGTAGAGGTAGTATCTCAAGTCCAACTTTTGCTTGTACCCAGATTTTTCAGCATGAGAAAAGGTTGTTCTCATGTGCCTGGGATCTCAGGAGTCAGTGCTGCTAAATGAGTCTTATAAAACTACTGCATGGAAACCCTCCTGTGCTCAAACCTTATCCACACATGTTCCATCATGCACTCAGATAAGCACGCACATAGTTTGGCATCGTTGACATGCTTGCCATTTCCAGTCCTTATTACCAGCAGAGCTGATACAGGGCCAGAGTTTTAGCAATAGCAGCTTATTATCATTTACAAGAAATCAAATAGATACGTTATTTTGTACACACTAGGAATTCCCACATTAAGACTGTGGCTTCTGCTATTATTCGGTTTGTTGTGATAGTGGAAAGGTTGCAGAGAGCAGTGAGATAAGCCCTCATCTCTGGCACTGACGGCAGGAGGTCTCGACTCCACCCTCCCCCTGAGGTAGCTCTATTAAATACGAACTTGACAGCGTAACTCGGGGCTCAGCCAAGATGTTCTGCCAGGAGAACAGCAAGGATTGCAGCAAACGTGGGTTCGATACAGGGTGTAAACAGATCTGCAGAGGCTGCACGGCCTTAGCCGAAGCAGCAGAGCGCGGGTGGGAAGCGGGAAGCTCTCCCGGGTGCCTGGCCACTCCATGCACCCGCGCTCAGGTCTAACTGGGAGCTGCAGGGACAGGTCACGCGTCGCCTCGCGGAGCCCTTGCCTGGTCCCCGTTTTCACCGTGCGGATGAAGCCCTGGCACAGACTCGCCTAGGCCTGGTGGGGAGCCCCTAGGAAGGGAGGGTCGTTACCCAGCCTGTTTCTGATTAGCGCTTTAGGCTGCGGTTCGGGAGATGATCCCGTCGCTGCTTTCCCTCTGAACCCTGGTGCTATCTAGCACGTGACTCAGGCTTGTGCTATGTTGCTGCAGATCCAGCAAATGGCAGACAGTGCTGCAGCAGAGATGGACAAGCTGCTGGCAGCCAAGACCAAGGAGCTGCTTGGATAAACACCATCCGTACGGACACACTCCCCTCCACTGGCGAGGCTGGGCTGCCCCTCTGCCCCCGGCCGTTCCTGCCCAGCGTCGAGCAGCCTCTGCTGATGGCAAGGACAGCTCTCCCAGACCTCCGGAGCACATCCATGCTTTGGACGGCTCATCTTCAACTGCATTGGAGGGATGGGGGAAGCTCTCCTTGCTTTTATTTATTCAGGTGAAGAACAGAATTGGGTGAAGCAAGATTAAAAATAAAAACAAGAAAGACTTCAAGCCGATGGAAGGATTCCCACAGCAGAAGCCAACACACAGGAGGTGAGGCTGCCCTCTGCCTTGGCCATTCGCCCAGCAAGACCTGGCAGGGCTGAGGCAGCCCCGTCTGCCCTCTGCACGGGTTTGCTTCCTCCTGGCCTGCCCTCGCTCCTTCCCTCCTGGCTGCTGGAACAGCTCTTGCTTTGACTGTGGCAGAAGCAGGGGCCACGAGCAAGGGGAACCTTCCCTTCCACGGCCCTGCTGCGGACCTGGGCAAGTGTTTCTGTCTAAAATAAAGTCAAAATGGGACCTGGGGGAACACCCAGTTCCTGGTTGGTCTGTCTCCTTGAGTTCACTCTTCTCAGAGGAGCATTTGCCCATTGCTGTTGGCAGCACAGGTTGCTGCAGCCTTTCCCACGGGTGTGCGGCTCCGGGAGGGCATGGAGAAGCTCAACACCAACTGGCACGCGCTACCGAAGTGGACACAAAGACCATGGGTTTGCAGTTCCTTAGCCTTTGGTGGCTTTTATGGATGAAGAATTGAAACTAGTGCTGTCAGCAGGGCTATTTTTGCTGGAACTAAGCACACACTGAGACAAGAGCCAGCGCAGGAGCTTTCTGACGTGACCATCAGCCCTGCCTCGGCAGCTGCTGCATGCCCACACGTGCCACTCGCGTCACATTTTACGGAGCAGAGGGGAGGAGGTACCAACACACCAGGGTCCTGCACAGGGTGCAGCTGCGAGCAGGTTCCTTCCCACAGCAGCGGAGAGGCTTCCCCGCGGCCTCGGTGAGCGGCGGCGCAGAGGGAAGGTGGACACGGCAGCCCAGCCCCGCTCCCAGGGCACCTGCTTTCAAAGAGCACTAAGTGCTCTGCAGGCCTTAACTAAACAACTCCCAAAAAGTTGGTTTGTGCGCAGCGGGGAGGGGGAGGAGATGACGGATTTGCTCTGCTAGGGCCCCACATGTCAACAATTTCTCTGCTTTGTGTATTTTGGCCAAAGCGCCTACCATGATAAATGAATAAAGGAAAATGGCGAGCCCAGGGCGGTTACATGGCTCAGTAAATTGCTTTCAGCTGATTACTATATTTCTTTTGACATTTATCAACGAGGCTTTTTTGTTGTTATTGCAGCCCCTGCATCCCAGCAACAGCCTAGGACCGAGGAGCTTCCCTCGTTACCCGCCCGGGAGCAGGTCTGCAGGTCCATGGGCTGCACGGGGCTCTCCGTGTGCCAGGGCAGCCCTGGGAGCCGCTGCGGGATCCCGCTGGCTGCGCTGGTGCCTCCCTCCCTGGGCCCAGCAGCGGGGATGTGTCCTTGCAGGCAGGGGGGCTTCCCCAGCTGCAGGGGCTTCTCCCTGCTCTTCCCCTTTGCCACAAGAGGGAGGACAAAGAGACTCGTGCTGCCCTTGCCCATGTTCCTTAGCAGGTAGCAGAACTGCAGCAACAAGAGGAGATGGAGCAGACCACAACAGGGGGCTAAGCCAGTTTGCAAACACCAAGAGATGCAGATACTCATTCTCCAAACCTCTCTTTCCACAGTGGGATGAACAGGCAAAAGCCCCCTCTGCAGCCCAGCAGAGACACCCATTGCACATGAGCTGCTGAGCGCCCCGGCCCGCTGCCACCCGCACCCAGGCCACCCATCCCCAGGGCAGTGTGAACTGGCACCCGCTGCACTTACTGTGCCTGGGTCCTGCTGTCACACAGGGCACCTCCACACTGCTCCCGCTCTGCCATGTGGCTGGGAAGGATGCAGGGAAAAGGCAGGAGCCTCTGCCTTGATCAGGCTTATCAGGAGCCGCAGCTGATGCCACCCAAGGGTGGGAAGGAGCCGCAGCTGCTGCGTAACCCAGGAGGGAGCGGGGGAACAGCCCAACTGGACCCAGTGTCTGGGACTGCGGTGGTGGCCTCGGCCACCGGCACAGCCCATCCGGGAGCCCCTTCCCGCGGCGCATCCCGGCCCGCGGCAGAGGCGCCAGGAAGAGAAACTCCGAGGAACCTGGGAGCTCTCGACATAGTTAAAAAACAACATTGCTCTTCAAAATAGATGTGATTGCGCTCCTCGTGAGTCATCGAGCAGAGCCCCGGCGATTGCTTTGTGCCAGGGACGAGCCTGGGCGCTGATTGTGCTTCCCGGATTTGTATAACGCAGCGCCAGGATGGCATGTCAGAGTTTACAGCTCGCATGCATTTTCAGCAGTGAGCTTTGCAAAATGTATCAATGTAATCTCTGCCTCCTATATTCCGTGTTGATTAGACACGATTTCTGGCTAGATTTTCAGAAAGCTCAAGTGCTTTTTTAATCACTACAGAAGCTCATTATTGCTTTCCAGTGACTCTTATGTCCTTCACTTCTCCTTTCAGATTAGAGTCTATAGTCAGATGAATATTGGATGATTTCATTACATACAAATGCAATCAACAGTTTTGCATAAATTTCTCCTCTTTTCTTGAGTTTCAATTGACCTCAGCACCCGTGGAGGCAGGCGCAATACACATGTAAATGAGCTGGCGTTGCCGCAAAGACACGGATGCGGAGAAACAAGATAAACTGTCAGATAATATTCAGGATTTTAAGAGATCAAAAAATACTTTGTCATTCAACCAATCCATAAAAATGGCACCTTCAGCTGCCTGGGAATCTGCCTGTGTTTTGTTCAGTTTCTGGCTGCGGACAAAGAGTGGGAAGGGGCCGAGGGATGAGCCATGGCGGCTGCCACAGCTCGGGATGCGCAGGGATGCTGGGCCCTGCATGCTGGGATGGACCGCCCATGAAGTGGGATATTGAGCTCCATGTGCTGGGATACGTGACCACATGTCCTGGGATGCTCATCTCCATGTATTGGGATGCTTGTCTGCACATGCGGGGATGCTCAGTCCTGGATACCAGGATGCCCAGCCCTGCACACAGGGATGCTCAACCCCATGTCCCGGGATGCTCAGCCCTGCACACAGGGATGCTCAATCCCGTGTCCCGGGATGCCCAGCCCTGCACACAGGGATGCTCAACCCCATGTCCCGGGATGCCCAGCCCTGCACACAGGGATGCTCAATCCCATGTCCTGGGATGCTCAGCCCGTGCAGGGGCCTCCCCGCAGCCCGGCACCTCTTTCCACCAGCCGCCTGTGGCCCACAGCACAGCCAGGGCACAGGGGAACAATACATCTAAAATGTATTTAAACTAACGCTCCATGCTAACAATCAGGGCTAATTTAAGCAAACTATAATTAAACATAAAGGACCTCTTGGTAGGGAAGTCAGGAAAAACTGCCAGCAGTTACTTTGGATGGAAAGCCCTTACCTTTACAAGAGCAATTTCTGCTCTCCTGCAGCAATCCCGCACTCCCACACGCACCTTCGGGGGCCGGCGAGGGAAGAAACTCTTGGGTCGCATTTGATACTTTTATGTGCTAATCTTCTTAACAGATTTTTAATTAAGGGGAACAGAGCACTTCGCAGCTGTGAAATCTGCCGGCGTAATTGCCACGCGCGTTAGCCCCATTAGCCACCCCGGTGACCCGGCTGCAGGCCTGGCAGCCGCCAGGGACCCTGTCCCCCAGCAATTTGGGTAAAATAAACTCTGTAATCAGGTAAATCATCCCATCGGGGGAATTGCCGCCCGCGCCGGCAGGGAGCTGGCAGCGAGACGAGCCCCGGGCCCGGCCGGGACGCGCAGCAGCGTGGCTGGGCATGAAACGTTTAAGCTGTCACTCAGCCCCGGCTGAGCGGATTCCCTGGCGCAGCCGCCGGGGACGGACGTGGTGCATTTAGGCTCGTGTCTGCTGCAATTTCCTGGCCGCCGGCGGTGACGGCGGGTGGCTCGCGGGGCGCCGGGTCCTGCCCCAGCTCGGGCGACACGTGGCCGCCA